GCAATTGTTTTTTTTTTTGAGTCGGCAATAATTAATTCTGTCATATAAGTGTCTGAATTATTTCGTTAAGTTTTACCATGGAAAACAAAAAATTACAAGCTGATTTATTATAAGTTGATTTATTCTACATTCTTAATTTAGAGAAATTTGGCTAATTGGGTCGAAATCAAATAAGAGATGTCCCATTAGTATTTTTTCAACTCAATTTTGTCTCATTAATACTTATTTTAATGATAATCCAGTTTTAACCTTCATATTTAGTTTTTATAAATATTTTTTMWTTTMWTTAATTCTATTAGTAAAATCAAGTACATCAAAAATAAAWKAAAAAATAATAAAACGACTTTAYTTTAAAAGCCGTCGATATCTTCGAAGAGCTCTGTGGTTCTCTCCTTCTCTTCTCCTCCGCCTGCTTTTCCACCAAACTCTGCTCCACCGTGTCTCCAAAACACAATTTTCCCAATAGAGTTTTAGATTATATTTCATTGCATTTGCATAGTCCTTGAGTCATTTATAGGCACTTTGGAAGCCAAAAACCAAAGGAACAAGGAATGGAAGCAAAGATGCAGAAAATGGTTAAAAGTTGGGTACTTGTTGATGACTTTTACACCGATGGATCGAGCTGAAAATTGGCTACATTCTAGGGAATCGAGTTAGCTATCATTTGGAAGAAATTTGAGATCATTCTAACGGTGCGATCAAAAGTTATGAAAGGTTTAGTGGAGATAGGTCGGTCTGGCGAGTAAAAGAAGCAAGTGCAGAACATAGCACCAGATCGACCGATCCATAGCTGGATCGGTCGATCCTATTATCCAGTTTTTGTCGGATGACCTGTGGATCGACCCAAATTGAAGATGATAGATGGATCGACCGATCCACATGTYGATCGARCGATCCAYTCCCTWAAACTGRCCAAAAATYTGAAAAAATCAGCTCACCAACTCCTATTTTATTTAATCAAAACGTGTTTTCTTGGCAAAAAAACGTGTTTGAGAGATATTTATCCTAGTTTTCTCTCATTATTGAAGGGAGAACCCCCACTTTTCTTGTTTTTGGAGATC